TCGTTTAATTGAATTGATGCAGCAACACTTTGACTTGCATAAATGATAATTTTTCATTGTCCACACAATGATACGATCTAAGTTTGAAAATTAAGGAAAAGTAGAGGCATTCAAAGTAATATAAAAACAACCTGCAACCATTATATGTAGAGAGGTTTATGACTTTTCTACTTAGTAACTTTTTAAAAGAAGAAATACCTAAATATGAAAAAATGATCCTTACAATTTCAATTTGGGACATGAATTACAAAAAATGAATGAAAAGTAATTCACGAGTTTTAGTAGGTGGTCCAGTTACTAAAGAAAAAAACAACAAGAAAATATAGCTACTGAAATATGATGAAAATAATTTAGTATAATGTAATATGATGAAAACCAACAACTAAGTAACAAGTAATTGATATTTAGTATCATAACTTAAATTTAAAAAGAGAAATAATGGATACTAGTATAAGGATATTTCTAGTTGGACCAATCTGAATCCTAGACATGACTGAACTTAAACATATTAGAACTGATCGGACAAGACTAGACATGACTGAACTTAAATATATTAGAACTGATCGGACAAGACTTAAACAAACCGGATCAGATTAGAGTCATCAGACCAAACTTAGACAATTGTAAAATAGACACACTAGTAGGCCACTTAAACAGACTAGACCTGACTAGGCAAGCAAATTTCGATCCAGTTGAAAACATGAAATATAGATAATACAACCAAGATTTGCCTAGCTCTGAAAATATTAATAAATGAAATTCCGATAAGACCATCCAAGTGTAAATGTTTAATAACGAAAAAGAACATGTGAGTTTTTGTTATTTTGGCAAGTCTCAATGGATATATAAAGAGACGTGGCTTTATTTTGTCAAGGCAATTATTACGATAGACAGGAGATAAATAATAAAAAGAAATGCCTTGTACGGAGTATATTTAATGATGATAATTATTAATTAATTAATAGAGCAATAGAAGCTTTGGACATGTTTACATTCAGGAGCTTCTAGGGAAAGGAAACAAAATATAAGAACATGATTATGATTTGTGAAGTCATGACTCATGAAATATTGATTGAACTTGGAAAGTGGCCTATTATAAAGGTGTGCTAACTCTTGACTTAATAAATTTGTGAAGTCATGACTCATGAAAGACAGAGACTATGATATTATGATTTAATAAATTTGTTAATAAGTAAATCTGAAATTTAATGTGTGATATGTGTATATGTGCATGTTAATACTGCAGATTTCAAAGAAAGGAAAAGGCCTGAGTAACAATAGAAGGAAGTATCCATATGGCCAGTCAAAGACTACGGAAGATGTTGTATTACAGAGTTTAAAAAAAAAGACTTATGGAACTTATTTGTTTCATAAGGTAATGTTCATCTCTATTTTCTGTATTTCAATTTTGAAGTTTACATGAACATGATATGGAAGCAAAAAAACAAACCTGCCTAATGCCTTATTGAAATTAGGAGATCTATTCTTCAGGATTTTAACTGTGAAAAACATTATTGAAAAAACCTTTATCTTCTTATTTATTGAAGCTGCTTTTAGAAAATTATACTGTGAGAAACGGGTATTGCTGTCTTCCTTGAGAGCAGGACAATCGTGGACATTATTAAAATCTTATCTGTTTTTTGTTTGCTCGAAATAGCAATTTACGATTTGGATAAGCTTTCATTTTGTTGCTGGTTTTTTTTGTAGATTTAGATTACAAGTATCTATATATAAATTATTTGGTTTTTTGGATCAGAGAATATATGACACCCAGATATAGAGTCAGCCATGTTTTTTGAAATGTTTTTTTTAAATATGTGGTCAACTTATACATACAACGTATTATGTTTTTTTGTACATGATTTTCAATGTCTAATTTGCACAGTCACGTAAAGCTCAATTAACTGTTTCAATTGTTTTACTCTTATGCAAAATTGCTCCATTTCATAATTGCAGGGGTTGGTAACTATACTTTAATTTTAATCTATGTAAAAGAAAAGTGTATTACTTCATTACTTGCCCAAGTAGTATTATGTTTTAAAAAAATATATTTACCTTCCAATGTCTGCCTATTTATTTTAAACATGAATGCTAATATGTTGAAATTTCTATTTACAGATAGAAGATAGACATGAAGAAAAAGAAATGGAATCCAATGGTGAATGAGTTTCTCTATGGAATGCCTCTAAAAAATGGAAGAGATTTTGGATTTGCGAATATTTTTTTGTAGCTATTTTGTAGTGACATGTGTATAATCGATTGAATTGGCATTATATATAATACTTGTATATGCACTATTTCATTTTTAATGATGAATTTATCAATTGTTGAATTGTATTCTTATTTTTCGGTAGTAGGTTTTAACATGATGGGTGTCGATGTGTCATAATAAAATTAGGGCTACTTACATGAGCTCCGTAAGAGTTAGATACCGTTACGTATTCTAAAAAACGTTACACATTTGCTATAAAAGTGTTACATTTGTAGAAGTTAGAAACCGTTACTTTTGTACTCTATTGTAATGGTTTGACTTTTATTGTAACACTTTTAATAGATCAAGAAAAACCGTTACAATTGATATTAAAACTGTTACAAACCGTTACAATAGAGCAAAGGTAACGGCGGCAAATGTAACACGTCAAAACTGTTACTAATAACTTATTGTAACGGACTTTTAAACTAATTGTAACAGTTTCGAGCGTTGCAAAAGACCACAAAATGTAGTAGTGTTACAAAAACAATTCTACAAAAGACATTTCTTATCCCTTTTTTAAAAAGTTGTTCAGTATAGTATGGATGTTATCATGTTACTATAGAAAAAGAGTGGGTCCTTTTGGTAGACAAATGATCAGCGTTATCTTTATCCTCATAAAGCTGGAAACAGTTTCATAGTACTCGTGAGCCCATTGTATATAGTCATAATACACTGGCTTGGAGTATTAACCAAAGTAGTTTGTCTTTTTAGGTTCAAGATACAATGTGGGTAGGTGATGTATGGATGCTATTAACTGACGAAAAAAATATTTAATTTGCACACATTTTTTCGTATACCAGTTTACATACGTCAGTTAATAGCTATTTTTTGTTTGTGAATAACGGGTTTATAGACAAAACATGCTTTATCTGCAAACAGACTATTCACAGATCACACAAAAAATACATCCTCACACATGTGTGTAAGATGGTGTGTAGTATGTACAAAAAGTGCATATAAGAAGAATTTTTTATTTAATGAAGAGAAATGTTATTTGTACACGTCACTTTATACGCCGACACAATATGATGTGCACAGACAATTCTTTTTTCATTTTATGAAGAGAATTGTTTTTAAATGAATGTCAATTTTCAGGTCCTAAATCAATTAAGCAAAAATCCACTTTTAAGGGGTTTCCGCATTGTGTTGTTGTCTTTTACTTTCCACATACCTGTTTTGAATATAAAAGAACGGTTTTTATATTAATATCGAGAAATCATACAAGAAAACATTCAAACACTTATGACAGAACCGATCATAAACCATACGAATAGACATAAAATCAGTCACCTCATATAAAACAACGTGATTCGCTAGACACAAAACGGACAAATTGTAAGTTATGTGTGTAAAGTATATAAGTGTAGTATATTTTTTGTATAGCTTATGAAACACAATCAACTTTATCGGATTTCAAATATGAATCACACAAATTGAAAAATATAAGGTAGAGTTTGAAGAAAAATTATAGGGTTTCAAATACAAATACGAGTCTTTGTCTTAGATTTATAAAACTTTAGTTACTAAATTGATAGAGAAAGAAAAAACTAAATTTATTCTTAATTTAACTTGAAGACGAAGAACAACGAAATCACAGTTAGATTTTGATAGAGCAAGAGAGGATAATTGAAGGAAAAGAAGGAAAAATAAGAAGAAATCGGAATAATGGACCAAGGAGATGACCGGATAGATTGGTGAAGAACAAGATAGGATGATTGGTGAACAAGGAGTGTTGGTGAACTTTGCATAATGATACCGTATGCAGATTGACACACTATGTATAACGTGCACTTTGTCGTGGTGTGCACTCAAAATAAATATCAATACAATACTTATACATAGTATTAGCGTATCAAGGTTCGTATCCACAGGGAAAGGAATACTTCTCTTTTTAATTAAATTGTAACAAGGAGGCGTTAGGTGTGTTTGATTTTAATTAATTAAATACGAAGATAAACGACTTATATGATGAGTTTAATTAATAGAGATGAGGACTTGATTTTGCTTTTATCCACTTAATGAAATGTTCGTCGATCCCGGTTATATCTTTAACGTAACTATCTTCCACTCGAATACTCAATCGAGGAGTATCTCCATTTCATCGAGGGTAGTTATTAATAACGAGACGCATTCATTAACAAAACTTGCTACCGAGTCAATATAAAACGCGCGCCATATATTAACCCGATAGTAGCAATAAACTTAAGATGAAAACGATTGAGATTGATAACCTCAACACAAGCGGTTTATTGGTTTAATCAATATAATTAATTCCCCTTAGATTATTAACCATGAGACGCATGCATTAATAATCCAAGTTTACTACCGTGAAACGACCGAACGATTAAGGAAAATGGAGAAAGTAGCTACCATTTTTGTGATGACTGACATAATTAAGGGCTGAAGTTAACGAAGGTTGAATCGGTGAAAAGAGAAGAAAATTGAGATGTGAAATGTTATGGCAACTAATCGCATCAATTTTTTTTTTGTTAAAAGGGTAAGTCTGGACACCAAATTAATTTTTAATTTGGTGTTTGTGAATAGAAACACCCTAATAAAATTAAAATTTGAGGTAGACGGGTCCAAGTTATGCCCTGCCCACCTAGGCGGGTGTTTAGCTCAATGTATAGTGATCTGCAAGCTTGGCTCGAACTGAAGCCATCCTTTATGTTTTCTTCTCTGTACTGTACACTTTCATTTAATGGTTAGAACAAATGAACCATGGCGCGCGGAAAAGGTGCACCATGAAGATTTGAAGAACCATAAAACACTTCTGACTCCAAATAATTATGAACCATAAGAGATTTCTCAACTCAAAATATAAATCAAAACATTACAGAACCTAGCGATATAAAGATGTCTACCACACATCCATACATTACAACCATCTTTATTTGAAAGTATATCAAACCACTAGATTAAATTGCAACGACCTATTATTACTTATTCCAGCTGATGTATGTACATGATTTCCCATCAGTGCAACAGAAATGGATAATTACTGTTATCTCAAGGCTTCTTCTTGACAACAAGAACCTGGCAGTTGGCATTGTGGACACAGTATGTGCTGACGCTTCCGAGGAAGGCCCTGTAATTCATAATCCCTAAAGACATATTAGTCCAACGTTCATACTTCCTCCGTCCTATTTAAAACTTCCCGTTTGAATTACACCCATTTAAAGAAATAATTTTTTCCTTTGACTTTCTTAAATGCCCACTTTAACACTGTTTAAACATTGTTTGGCACTAATTAACATTATTACTACTATTATCTAATGATAGTAGAGCAAATTGATAGAAATTGGTTTACCAAATAGGTAAATGGTATTTTATTTAGGGACATTCATAAAAGGAAAATGAAAAGTTTTTTAAGGGATAGAGAGAGTATATTACAATAAATATATTTTAAAAGTGAAAAATAGAAGTGAGGCCACCGGTTATCTAATAAAACAAAAAAAAAACTCCTTCCGCCTCAAAAATTTTCAACTTTCCGAAATTTGTGTGCCAAAAGCAAATTAAGAAGTTTATTTTGGGAAAAGGAAGCATACAACTACAAAAACTTAAAATATTTATTAGGTAGTCAAAGTAACCTTTGCAGAGCCCCTCTACTGTGGCTTCCCAGCACAAGCAATTGGATATTCATTTTTTCTACTGCTTGACATATGGCCTCCTTAGGATCTCCTGCCTCCATGACTGTCTCTGCTGTTATCTGTCAAATAAAAAGTCGCATATTCTGAGTCTTACTAAGCCACATAGCTGTGGTGGAATAGTCAGTTTGGTAGGTTCTATTGAGATATAATCCAAAATTAAATAAAGTCTGTTAGTTTTGTTACTTTCAGTTAATTGAACTTCAGGTTTCTATATATAGTAGCCTGACTTGTAATAAGCTGTGCGGTTGGTTGTTAATAAGATCAGATCATCTTTCTCCCCAAATTACTTTCTCTTTTAACCGTTCTTCTTACTTGCTCCAACAAATTGGTATCAGAGCGTTAATGGCGCAAGTCAATAACAGCTTCCCTGCTAACTTTCCAATTCTAGATGGTAAGAATTGGAATCGTTGGCGAATTCAGATGCAAGCAATAATGGGATATCAAGAGATCAGCGACATCGTTGAGAATGGTTTCGAAGGTCTGGCAGAAGGAGCCACAGAAATTCAGCGAGCTACATACCGAGAGAACAAGAAAAAAGATTTCAAGGCCATGGTTCTTCTTCATCAGTGTGTGGATGAACCGCACTTTGAGAAGATCGCTGAAGCAAAAACTTCTCAAGAAGCGTGGAAGATTCTGGAGACGTGCAATGAAGGAGCTGAGCAATTGAAGAAAATCCGATTGCAAACCTTGAGGTGTCAGTATGAACTGATGCGTATGGAATCCAATGAACAAGTAGTTGCCTATATCAATCGGTTGACCAGTCATACAAACGCAATGAAGAATTGCGGAGAAAAGATGACTGAACAATCGTTGGTGGAGAAGGTATTACGATCCTTAACCCCAAAATATGACTATATTGTCTGTGCGATTGAGGAATCCAAGAAACTGGAGGATTTGAAGCTGATTACTCTCCAAGGAACACTCGAAGCACATGAACAAAAGTTCATTGAGAGATCCACAGAGACACCTGGTGCACAGGTATTACAGGCTCAGACCTCTAGCAGAGGAGGAGGTCAGTCTGGAAGAGGTGGATACCGAGGCCGAGTGATAGAAGCAGAAAAAGAAACCCTAGCAGACGGTGTGAACGACTGCCCAGCCTTAGGCTCAAACCAAATCTTTATTCTCGATAATGAATAATAGTTCACAAGACCTCCTTAAATACTCCTTAACCTAATAATAAAATATGGCCTTGTAGGCCCAACAACTTAATAATAAAATATGGCCCAGCAGTTTAATAGAAATAACAATTGAATAAAATAAACTAATAAAACCCAGCAGTTAATCCAGCCCATCTAGGCCCGCTGGCGACGACGGTAAACCAATAATGGGCGAGGCCCGTCCCCCTGAAGTAGCGGACCAGTTGCCCCCTCCTGGGCTGTCGGCCCAACTACCTCCTGCTCTCTAACAATTTCCTCCCCCTCTAAAACAACCTTGTCCCCAAGGTTGAAGTTAGGGAACTGCTGCTGGAACTGCTGCACCCCACTGCACCAACACCTGCTCCACATTTTTCCCTTTCTCCTGCACATTCCGCGAAGCCAGAACAGTAGCAGGCTCGAACATCGGTCCAATAGGTACTTCCAAACTCTCTGGCAACTCTGTTTCAATGGGATGATCCCCGACCACCCGGCGTAACTGCGACACATGAAAAACAGGGTGGATCCTGCTAGAGGCCGGAAGAGACAGTCGGTATGCGGCTGGACCCACACGTCCTTCGACCACAAATGGGCCATAGAACTTGGCAGCTAGCTTGTGATGAGCTTGCTTTGCTATAGAATTTTGCCGATACGGTCGAACTTTCAGGAAGACACGGTCCCCGACTTCAAATATCACTTCCCGCCGGCGCTTGTTTGCCTGCTTAATCATTTGCTGTTGTGACCTCTCTAGATTACCCCTCAAGCGACGCAGCAGCTCATCCCGTCCCCCCAGAACTTCTGCCACGGCCGCCACCCGACACTCACCTGGTAAGAACCGCCGTAAGGATGGAGGCGGCCTTCCATACACCACTTTAAAAGGAGCCATCCTGGCAGCCGTTTGGTAAGCAGTATTGTACCAATACTCCGCCCAAGGTAACCAACGAAGCCACTTCTTAGGCTGGTCACATGTGAAGTAACGAAGATATGTCTCCAAAATACGGTTTAACACTTCCGTTTGGCCATCCGTTTCGGGGTGGTATGCAGAACTGTACTTCAAGTGGGTACCTGACTGCTGGAACAATTCTTTCCAAAAGGTACTGATGAATAGCGGGTCCCTATCACTGACTATGGATCCCGGCATACCATGCAACCGAACGATCTCTCGTACGAAAATATCAGCCACAGATCGAGCTGTAATTGGCGGTTTTAATGCAATGAAGTGTCCATACTTGGACAGCCTATCCACCACCACCATAACACATGTATACCCCTGAGATTTAGGCAAACAAGTAATAAAATCCATGGCCACGTCTTCCCAAACTAAATCTGGAATTGGCATCGGTTGTAAGAGTCCTGCGGGTGACATAGTTTCGTATTTTGATTTCTGGCAGATCAAACATTTGGCCACATATTCCTGCACCTGACGGAACATGCCTTTCCAGTACACACCGCTCGCCAATCGTCTATATGTCCTGAGGGCCCCTGCATGCCCCCCTTCCGGTGTGTCATGAAATTCGTGTAACAGCTTCGGAATCCACTCGGAAGTGGCTGCCAGCACCAACCTTCCTTTAAAAAACAGCTTGCCGTCTATGATTTCGAACCCCACTCGGCTGCCTGGATCGGTCTTCAAGGCAGTCACAATGCCTTGAATAAACTCATCACGTTCTTGTTCTTCCAACACCTCCTGCATCCCTGCCCAATCTGGCACACTGAGTGCTGACAACACCCCGTCGTCAGCCCTTCTAGATAGGGCATCGGCCGCTGAATTGGAGACTCCCGGTTTGTACTCAATTTGGAAATCATACCCCAGTAATTTGGCCACCCAATTCTGCTGCGAGGGAGTTACAATTTTCTGCGTGAGAAGATGTTTGAGGCTGTGGTGATCAGTGCGGACCGTAAAACGACGACCCACGAGGTATGGCCTCCAATGTTGTATTGCCAAAACTAGTCCCATTAATTCACGTTCATAGGCTGATTTAGTAAGGGTGCGATCAGCCAATGATTTACTGAAATAAGCAAGTGGTCGGCCGTCTTGCATCAATACTGCCCCTATCCCAATACCGGATGCATCGCACTCAATCACAAAGTGGCGCTTGAAATCCGGCATGGCCAAAACCGGCGCTTCAGTCAACGCGCTCTTCAAACGAGTGAAAGCGGTTGCTGCCTCCTTATTCCATTCAAATACCGCTGCTGCATCTTTCTTCAATAAGGCCGTCAGAGGCCGCGCTATGAGTCCATAATTTTTGACAAAACGACGGCAATAGCCCGCCAACCCCAGAAACCCACGCACCTCCCGGACAGAACGCGGTTGGGGCCACTCGACTACTGCACGGACCTTCGCAGGGTCCATCTCCACGCCTGCCGCTGAAATGATGTGGCCAAGGTACTCGACCTTGGACCCCCCAAAGACACACTTCTTTCTATTGGCCTTGAATTGATTCTGATGTAGAATATGCAGCACTTGTGTCAAATGTTCACGATGCTCGGCTACTGTCTGACTATAGATCAGGATATCATCGAAGAATACCAAAACAAATCTTCGCAAGAACGGCCTAAAAAGATCATTCATCGTGGACTGGAAGGTGGCTGGCGCATTCATTAACCCAAACGGCATCACGAGAAACTCGTAATGGCCACTATGAGTGCGAAAGGCAGTTTTAGAAATATCCGGTTCAGCCACTCGTATTTGATGATATCCAGCTCGGAGGTCGATTTTTGAAAAAATTACGGCTCCAGATAACTCATCTAACATCTCTTGTATCACTGGAATCGGATACTTATCTGGAACAGTCACTTTATTCAATTCCCGATAGTCCACACAGAATCGCCAACTGCCATCTTTCTTTTTAACCAGGAGAACTGGGCTTGAGAACGGGCTGGAACTTGGCCTGATGATGCCTGCCATCAACATTTCTGACACAAGATTTTCAATTTCATCCTTTTGGCTATGCCCATACCTATACGGCCGGACAGATACCGGGCCCGTTCCTGGGACTAACTCAATTCGGTGGTCTGTAGATCGTTGCGGGGGAAGGCCCTCTGGCTCTCCAAACACTTCCTCAAACTCCTGCAAGACATCAGCCACTTGCTCTTCATTTGGCCCCAACAAAGTAGTGGGCTCTCTTTCCATTACAATCGCCCAAAATTCCACATCCCTCGTCCGAAGCAGAGCCTGCAATCCCACCTGTTTCCGACATAGTGTTGGATCTCCTTTCAATCTTACCGGGCTGCCCTGACGATCAAATGACATAGTCATTGTTTCCCAGTTGGTCCGGACCTCTCCCAAGGATGCAAGCCATGCTACTCCCAGTATAACATCCACTCCTCCTAATGGAAACACGTAACAATCTGTCTGTACTTCGCACCCTGGCAGCGAGATCGACACCCCCTTGCAAATCCCTTCTGATTCTTGGCGTCGACCGTCTCCTAATTGTACACCAAACTTCCCCGTCTTTTCTGTCTTTAATTTGAGTCGTGGTATAAGGGCTGCTGAAATAAAGTTGTGACTTGTGCCACTATCCACCAAGATGGTCACTGTGAACCCCTCAATTACGCCTCTGAATCGCATAGTACAAGGACTAGAAATTCCCGCCATTGAATATACGGGTAAGTCCATGGCCGCTGCCTGTTGCTCCTCCTGTTTCCCTAGCTGCTCAACCTCTTCAGTTGAAATAAATGATTCAGTTTGGTTGAGGTCAAGTTCCTCATCTTCCTCCGCCACCATTACTCTTAACTGTTTTAAGGGACACTCATGCCCAGGGGTATAAGGCTTCTTGCATCGAAAGCAAAGTCCTTTTGCACGTAGGTCTGCCAATTCCTGCGGTGAGAGGCGTGTGAACCGAGAGCGATTTACTGACTGGCCAGTCATGGTTGACCCGGTCCCCGATGCACGGCTTGAAGATTGCGAGGAAGCTGTGCTTCCTGCT